TTCTATCAAGAAAAAAAAAAAAAAACAAACTAACAAAAAACCCCTCTTGTAGGTGACAAAGAAATATAAAGAGAATTTCAAACCTGTGTTCCCTTGGCAGTGTTGATGGGTAAATATCATAACTTCTTGGAGGTTTGCATTAGTTTGTGTTCAACAGCTCTCAAGACTTTTAGGCTGCATTAATCTCCATGACCTCCATAGAGACCCACAGGATATTCTCATATTTTCTCTTTTCTTACCATTCCTTTTTTTTTTCATTGACCAGATTTGAAGAATTGAGTTGTCATTTCAAGAGATTTCTATAGGCTTTGGGTGGAGTTAGACAAGTCTCAAAGAACCAAATCTGAAACTATTATTTCTCTGGAACACAAGCAAAGTATTCCTTGCATGGACACCATTTATCACACCAACACTTCAGTTTTATTGGTATCATTTATTCCAATTTTCACAAGTAAAATGTGTGATGCCAACAAAAATGCAATACTGCTATATTATTCTGTTTATGCTGTGACTTCTACCAAAGCAGTTCTATTAATGGTGAAGGAAACATTTCAGCATCTATCTCACTGATGCAATTCAGAGTGTGGAACACTGCAGTCAGTACTGAACTGTTGGGCTATTCTAGTTTTTGACAATTCTTTTATGCTGTATTCAATGAAAGTGATGTCAGATGTGGTAGTAGAATTCATTGCTGTGTGCTATGAGAGGACAAGTTGTGTTTCTCAGCTTGGAGACATCTAACGAGCATGTGATTGGATATTTATAAACATATTCTGCACTGGAAATAAAAAACCATGAATATTATTTTACTTTGAGGTTTTAGCCCAGTAGAGACTGGTGCAATTTAACAACAGTTTTGTTGCTCTGAAATCCAGAAGAATCTTGATTACATGAAATGTTTTGAAATGTAAAGGTTTTTACTATTATTACCAATTTGGTAAAGTATTCCTACCAATAGAATAATACTAATAATTTTAACTTCTATTCATTTTATACTTGGTTAGCTTCCCTCCTATGTTGTTGTATTTAATGTTATAACTACTCCATGGATGTAACATGTACAGTATTTGCTCCTTAACTCTGATACTGCCCTTTCAAAACCTACAAAAATATTAAGCAAACAGTATTAGACATAAAACAAAGAAATCTGTATTGTGACTATTTCTAAGTGGAACATACATAGTTCTCAAAATTTACTTGCAGTACTGACACTTAAATATTATTGAAATGGGATTATTGGTGTGAATTTGTAGTGTATGGAGGTAAAAGGAAGAATTATAATTGTTCTGAATACAATACAGGTAGATAAATAATTTAACTTTTTGTTTGATTGTTTGCATGCTTGCCATGTGGAAGAACCTGGAGGTGAGTGGTGGTTCATGTGAAGCCTGAAGCATAAACCCCTTCCTCAAAATTTATAACTAAATTATTTTATGAACATGTGCCTTTGAAAGGTGGTGAGGGCAAAGCTTTTTTAAAGGGTTTAAATTATTGTGTACAGAGTAGCTGTATTTTGCATTATATATAATTTTTGATGTATGGATCAAAATAGATACAATATTAACATTAGACAATGGTTTATTTTAAGAAGTGTCCATTTTAGAGGAAAAGTATTGATCTGGAGAGGGATGTAGCAGGATATTTTTATATGTAGAGTCTTTATTTTTATTATAAACATGTTACTATGAGGACAATCCTAGGTCTTCAAATTTTAATTAAAAGGTAAGAGGAAATTCTGCAAGGTCTTATGTAATCAGTTCCTAAATTAGCAAAGTAGTTAATAATCTCTTTCATACAGTATATATTAAACAGTTTTTCTCTGTGTCATGTAGTGTGTTGTTAGGTGTGAGGAAAGTGTTAATAGAGTGGTCATGTTTTTTTCTAGGTTTTTTTGGTCAGGCGGGTGGGAGGGGAGATTAGATTGTTTAGGGCTTGGTTTTTGCATTTTTTAGGTTGGCTATATATCAAAAAATGAAGTTTGGAAACCTAATATGAATTTGGGTTCAAGTCAGCAGGTACTTATGCCAAAAGCATTTTAAGTTCTGGATTCAGAAAAGCTTTTGGACAAAATGAGTTAATATCACTAATAAGATCCATGTATACACTACTAATTTTCCATTTGACTACCTAAAATCTGTTCTTGTTGCTTTCTGCAATATTTTACTCTACCACTCTCACACCTGAATACTTCGTATGAATCTAAACACAACAGGGTATTTGAAATTCAGTTCTTTAATCCTTTGCTGATGATACTATTCCACATAACATATAGGAAAAGGCAAGTATGCTGGCTCTAGAGCCCAGACATCCTGTCTGCCATGTGTCTGTCCTAACCACCTGGGCAGAGACTCAAAGATTATACAACTTCTCCTGCAAAATGAAACAGTCCCAACACACCAAATCTCTGTGTGGGTTTACACCCTGAAATCTGTTAGTCTCTTCAGCAAAACTGAGCTTGTCCAGACTTTTTTCCCCTCCCCACCCCCTTCCCCAAAACAGTGGAAGTTTGGGTTAAAGGGAAGATTTCATTCATCATATAGCACTCTTTTGGAGGGATATTTTTTTTAGATTTGCTAAAAAAAAGATAAAACCCACTTAGTTTGCTGCAAAAATTTTATTTGGTGAATTTTGGGAAACTAACTTTAAAATTAACTGTTCGTGTCACCGTGAACTCAGCTTATATTTAAAACCCTTTTTAGAACAAAACCTGTCTGAGGCAAAAATAATCTAGACAATTCCATCAAATTTTTAAATACTGACAAATACATGGGAGCAGCCTATTCTTACTTTATTAGGAACTTTTGAGTAAGGGAGGGAGTTTGTGCCAAATTGCATAACAGGAATCATTACTAAGTTGTGTGTACATGTCTAGTACTAGAACATTAACAGTGAATAAAACAGTGTGAACAAAGGTCAAATTCATTGTAAAGTTTCTCTCAACCATACATAAATCTATAACCACATACACAGACCTGGGGCTATCACGGATGCTCAAATACTAGTGAAGTTTTCCTGGTTTTGAATCAATTGAGGTAGGGTTAGCCAAAAAAGTTTTCTTCCAGATAATTTGTAAAATAAGTATCTCACAGTTGCGTGGTTTAAAAATGTTAAATCTCATCCCTTCCTTTGGAAAAGACATTAATAGCTTTTACCAGAAAACAATAATTCACTGGTTTTGGTGGAGTTCTTTTGGTTGCAATGACGAGTGAATGTCCAACTCATTAGTATTATAGAATCATAGAATCATAGAATGGTTAGGGTTGGAAGGGACCTGAAAGATCATCTAGTTCCAACCCCCCTGCCATGGGCAGGGACCCCTTCCACTAGACCAGGTTGCTCAGAGCCACATCCAGCCTGGCCTTGAACACTTCCAGGGGTGGGGCATCCACAACATCTCTGGGCAACCTGTTCGAGTGCCTCACCACCCTCTCCGGGAAGAATTTCTTCCTGACATCTAATCTAAACCTCCCTGATTTCAATTTATACCCATTACCCCTTGTCCTATCACTACAGGCCCTTGTAAAAAGTCCTCTCTCAGCACCCTTGTAGGCCCCCTTCAGATACTGGAAAGCTGCAATGAGGTCTCCTCGGAGCCTCCTCTTCTCCAGGCTGAACAAGCCCAGTTCTCGCAGCCTTTCGTCATAGGAGAGGTGCTCCAGCCCTCTGATCATCTTCGTGGCCCTCCTCTGGACTCGCTCCAAGTGGTCAATATCCTTCTGATATTGAGGGCTCCACAGCTGGATGCAGCACTCCAGGTGGGGTCTCACCAGAGCAGAGTAGAGGGGCAGAATCCCCTCCCTCGACCTGCTAGCCACACCTCTCCGGATACAGCCCAAATAAATTCAGCCCCATGATAAATTCATTATCATGAATTTTCTTCAGTAAATGGATTTATCTGAAAGTCAGCAAAAGACATGATTTATGCACACTAAAAACTTGTCAAAGTGAGATGATGAGTTATTTCCTGTTAATGACAGCCTATCCTCATCCAGCATTTTATGACCGGGCACAATTTTGTCATATGAGACTTTAAATGCTGTTTTAGTAAACAAATAAAAAAAGGTGTTAAAAAAAAAAGTTGAGGAATGTTCTTTTTGAAGGGGTAGCCCAGCAACATAACTGCCACTGGCAATGAAACCCCACTTTTATGTCTCTCAACCCAACAGCTGGGATTGTCTGAAAGCTGTGAGGTCAAATGTCTAGGAATTATGAATCCAGAGGTTCTGGATTACAACTACTTCACTCTTCCTGCAAATGGTCATCAGATTTGCCTGCTGTATAGTGGTACTCTTAAAAGGTATAAGAAGGGTGTGATGTGCATGTTTTCTGGGCTGGTATAAGAAAAATATTTCTATTCTTGTCCCGTATACATAGCCTACAAAATTAGGCTGTGACCACTTGAAGAGTCAACATTAGCAGAAGTTACTAAGCTGGTTAGAGGCCTTTGTGCTCTGTAGCTGCTGGGGTTTGTTTGTTTGTTTGTTTTTTCCTAGTTAACTTCTATCAGGCAAGGAAACTAAGGCACAAAGAGGTCATTTAAGGTCAGAAGAAATTTATAGAAAAGTCAGGACAGGAACCAGAGCTTTTAACTCTAACCCTGTGCTTTAACTAGAGGCCTCTGTGTCTTCCATAATTATTTTTTTTTGTTATTCCCTGCATTGGCAAAAGACTGCAGGATCTTGAATTTGTATTGGTTTGTTACATGCTTGTGTCATTTCCAGCACAAAATCTGTTATATTTTTTTATCCAGAAGGCAATCAAAATACAGCACTGTAGAAACAATGCAGAAATGTACAGCACGTGTCCCACTGAAATAAATATTATCACAATCAAGGTTTTAATGTATTTTCTTTAGTACTTTAGGTTTGGTTTATATTGAAATGTTTATAGACATTTAGAGATCTCGAAGACTAGTATTTTTAGGTAGAATAATTGTTATCCAGATTTTAAAATAAAAAAGGGAATCCAGTTGGGGGTGGTGCTATGTTTTGATAATCTTTTCCAGGTAAAATATGCAGATAAAAGTTCTTAGTCTCACTACTATTTTATTTTTCATTGTCACTGTGACAGTTGGAGATCTGTAGTTCCATTTAAAACCATAATTCTGGGACAAATAACTTTTTTCCCCTCTCCATTTAAAGACAGTAGTTAAGTGAAGGAATGCTTAGAAATTCATTAGGATTCTCATCAGTTATTCCAAAGTAGAAAATTGAAGAAGATGCTACTAAATTGAAGTATTGCTGTTTCATTTTTTAAAATATAAATGAATAACATAGTAAAAATTTAGAAAGTAGATTATTTCTGGTTCCATGCCCAAAAGAGAGGGTGTAGAATTCAGTACAAAGGTGAAGGAGTAGTTTCGTATGCTCACTTTTGAATGTCCTCAGTTCTGGGAAGCTCTGACTGTACACTTACACAATAACTGTACATTCCCGGACCATTCCTTTGTAAGACTGAGATGCTGTAGACAGTGAATAATAAAGCTAGGAAGGAATTGACATTTCTCAAAATGTGTTTGCAATACTGAGGCCAATTGCATTTAGGCACGCTTTTAAAATGTGAGTTTAGATCTGTATCATTATCTATCCTAATGTGGAGATCTCAAATTTTGACGGTAGGGCAGAGGAGGGCCAGAGGAGGATGTGAAAAAGACAACATAAATGCCAGCAGTCAGCATCCTGCTCACAGGTTGTTTTGGCCTTTTGTGAAGAGACACAATCTGCACACCGTAAGGACAGAAATACTTTTTAATGAGAATGGATGGGAAGGGCAAGCATGAGAACTTTCATTGACCTTCTAATGGAATGTATATAATAGAGGCATAAGTACATATTTTTTTTTGAATCAGAAACTTTGACAATCAAAATGGATTTTCAAGTTTTATGTGCTAGACATTAAAGATGATAGGATTTAATGCTCAGTCATAATAAATACATTGTAATTTGGGATCAAGCTGGCTTTATTTATTCACATAATCTATTAATTTACTTTTGGATGGATAATTTGGAAAATGGAACAGTTACCACTGTTTTCTTTTTAACTCTACTTTCTTTTCATGAATTCATGAAAGATAAATATTTTTTTAATATACATACAGCTTTAAAAATCTGTATCTTCTTTTCAAATTTAGAGCTGAAATCTACTGTCCTAGAAACAGAGAAACAATGCATAGAGGATGGTCAGCGGGTACAGGTAAGATTCTAACAGAAGTTTTTTATCTATGATTTAGTAAAAAGTCTGGAAATGCAGTACTTCATGCATTTTTTTAAAATAACTTCATGTACTGAATATTCTGAATGCAAACATTCATAATTTTCTCTTTGATTCTATATTTTTATTTTAAATTACTTATCTGCTCCATAGTGTATATAGGTATAGAGATTCAAGATTCCTTCTTGCCTGAGGTGACTTGTAATATATTATTGTTCACTCAGATGTAAGTTAACGCTTGTTTCTGGAGGTTTGGTGACATTACTAAGAAATAGCTGTAAAAGATATGGTTATATTAGCTAATCTACAAATTTCCATGTGAATTATCAGTGGTAGAGGTTTTGGGATTTTTTTATTTCTCCACTGAAACTTCCAGGTAGTAGGTGAACATATGTAGGGTGCCATACTGGACTTCAAAAGGAGATATGTAATACTGATACAGTGGAGACATAGTCTGGGTTGGACTTTTTCAACATAAACACAGACTATATCTTTCTTAGCTTGCCATAATTCATGTTAATTCTTTTTTTAAATTTTGCACAGTTTAATAGAGTTGAGAAAATTCAAATTTTGATTCCTCAAAAGGCTAGTTTATTTTCTGTGAAAACTCTCTGAGTAGAGATACCAGACTTATCTTACTAGTGAATAAGACTATTCAATTGTTCTGGGAGTCATGAAGAGGAAGGTAAAGTTCTGGTTTCCTTAAGTCTTGGTTTGGAACAAGGAGGAGCCAACAGCATTACATATTTTTTTTTTTTACTTCCTTTCTTTCTTTGTGGGGTTTGTTTTTGGTGGGGGATTTTTTGTTTGGTTTTGGTGGGTTTTTGGTTAATGACTGGATGGTTCAAGCATTACTGCATTGAGCAGCATTTCTGAAAATGCTTTACCTAAAAGAAGCTGATTCTTTTGCTATGAGAATGAAGTTTAACCAGCAGCACTAGAGCACTGTTTGATTGCTTGAACAAATAATATTTACTTCAGGTTGGGGTGTGTGTGTGTGTTTTTGTTGTTTTTTATAGCTAGCCTATTATATTGTCCAACTACTGAATTGCATTTGCTAGTATTGTTAGCGATCCCCATCCCTCTTGTCCAGTGTTGAATTCTTATGACGGTAACGTGAACTTCTTCCATTCATCAATCAAGAGCAGAAAAAAAAAAATGTTTTGAATTCATTATCAGCTCACTTGCAGAAAATAATCTCAAGTTTTTGGTATATTAATTCATCATCCTGTTTTATTTTGAACATCAAGGTGGTAGTTATTTAGTTTGAGGAACTCTGTGTAGATAAAAAGTGTTCAAACTATTTCTGTACAGTCCCAAACAGTTGAGTGTATTCTACTTACCTATCAATATCTATCTATATCAATCTATAAAAACATCTAGAAAGTAGAATGGTCACATTACTATTTTTTGTTTTGTTTGTAGAGAAATCCTTTACTGAAATCAGTTCATTCTTGGTGTTGTACTTTTTTAAAGTAATGAAATACTATGAAATGTTTCAATTAAAGATCTAGACTCTTTTATTCTTTGTCTAACTCATCCATAGCTTTTCTTTCTGAAGAAAGCAAGCATTGACTGTAGTTAGCCAAGTAGGTGATTTTTCCTCTTTTCTTTCAGTTCATGACAAAGGAGAGAGCCCTAGTGTAAAATTTGAAACTGATCAACTGAGTCTACCTACAGGCTTCTTCCCTGGGAAAAGACATTTCCCATGTGCTATTAAAATAATTGAAGATGTCAATATTGACACAGAAACAAACTCAAATGTAACATGATGCTGATAATTATCTCACTTAGGATGAACAGGTGACTAAAAGATTCAGAACACAAGTAACCCCCACACAGAGCCTAGGTTCTACATTTTCTTGCCACTGGAAGGTGCTTTTTCTATATATCCTCTTCATTTCCTTACCTTTACAAAGTTAGAGATAACCTTCACGTTTTGCAGCATAATTTCCTAAAATTTTTAAGACTGCTCTTTTGAATCCAAATTAGCTAACTTCTAAAAATTACAATTAAAAACATTGCCTGGGGGTGTGCTTGCTTTTAGTGCAGGAGTCAGTAAGCAGAGTAAACATTAGAAAAATTGTTAGCCATTTCAAAACTTGGCTTTGAAACACCAAGGAGGGGAGGAGAAGTATCTGCTTAGTCTTCCCAGTGTGAGCAGAGAAAGCTTTGTTAGTCTTAACTCCTTTAGTGAAGGTAGAAGAGAAAAATGTAATGTCCTAATTTAGATACTTCAGCTTCAAACCTGATGTCTGGATTTGACAGCTGTACTCTTGTTCAACAGCCAATTTCCTTTCTGTTTTACACCCCTAATCTTTTGTGGTACCCTTACAATTTTCCCTAC